AGGGCTCCATCTACTGGCGATAATAGATATTGCAGGGCTCAGCCCCATGCAGCGGATCAAGATGGCGCGGATGAGCCCGCCTTCTTGTCATCATTTCCGCCTGGCCGGAACACAAACTTCCGGTCGGCCCGCCCCCCGGGCCGAAAATGAGGAAGTAGGTGGTCGCGCAATGTGACGTCATCGCCCCGACCATGGGGGCCGCCATCTTTAATTTTACCAGAACAAAACGAACAGTTTCCGTACAAACCCCTAATGATTTTCAAGGCTTTTAATAGATACTAATCACCTGAAGCCATCCTTAAAACTAACTACTTCTGATTTAAGTCCCTTATTTCAGATATTACAAGGAAATCCCTCTCCAACCTCTCCACGTCAGCTAACCTTAGAGGCTAGAATGGCTTTAAGGAGAGTTGAACATGCAATTAAAAATGCACAGCTTACTAGAGTTGATCCTAAAGAAATAGCGTATTTATTAATATTTCCAACTGAACATACCCCAACAGGAGCCATATGACAAAGATTAGGAGTTATTGAATGGATTTATTTATCCCACTCTCCTCAAAAGACATTAATTCCTTTTCATGATTCTATAGCTCAATTAGTAATTAAAGGTAGAACTAGGATTTTACAATTAATTGGATCTGAGCCTGATATCATAATTATTCCATTTTCTATTCAACAGACTAATTGGCTTTTTCAAACTTCTAGCTCATGGCAGATAGCTTTTGCTGATTTTCCTGGCCAGATAGATAGCCATTATCCTTTTGATAAGATTATACAATTTGCATCATTAACGTCACTTATTTTTCCAAAGATTGTACGTGCACATCCTATAGATGAAGCTTTATCAGTGTTCACGGATGGTTCTAACTCAGGTAAAGCAGGTTTTTATAGTCGTGTTCACACAGAGATAATACAAACTTCTTATACTTCTGCCCAAAGAGCAGAGCTTCAAGCTCTGATTTGTGCCTTAAATTACTTTTCAAATGAGCCTATTAATATTTATTCTGACAGCTTATATGCAGTCGGAGTTACTAAAAATATTGAAACTTCAGTTATTGGGTATACTTCATCACAAGAGTTATTTGAGTTATTTCATAATTTACAAAAGACAGTGCTAATGCGAAAGTACCCATGTTTCATAGGGCACATACGGGCTCATACTAATCTTCCAGGACCCTTAGTTTCTGGTAATGACAAGATTGATAAATTAGTAGCTTTTTGTCAACAGATGTCTTCATATAACTGTGCACTAGCTTCCCATTCCTTGCATCATCAAAATGCTTCTAGCTTACGTAAAAAATTTAATATTACTAGAGAACAAGCTCGTCAGATTGTAAGCCAATGCCCTAAGTGTGTTATTCACACTCCATCTCTGTCATCAGGGGTAAATCCCCGTGGATTAAAACCAAATCAAATATGGCAAATGGATGTAACTCATATTCCTCAATTTGGTAAGCAATGTTATGTACATGTCATAGTGGACACTTATTCTAGATTTATTTTTGCCACAGCACGTACTAAGGAAAATACTCAGAATGTAATTTCTCATTGCTTAGCAGCTTTTTCTGTTTTAGGGTGCCCTATGCAGATTAAAACAGATAATGCTCCAGCTTATGTAAGCTCTTCTTTTCAACAATTTTGCCAAGAGTTTAAAATTAATCATAAAACAGGAATTCCTTATAACCCTCAAGGCCAAGCCATTGTGGAACGAGCTCATTTATCTATTAAGCTTCAATTACAAAAATTAAAGGGGGGGAATAGGTTTATGACTCCCCAAAATAGCCTTAATCATGCCTTGTTTGTTTTAAATTTTTTAAACTGTGACGCAGAAGGTCACACTGCTGCTGAGAGACAAATGTCTCCCTCAGTAACAGGCCTTTTAGGCAGAATTTTGTGGAAAGATTTACAGACTGGTCAGTGGAAGGGTCCGGACCCAGTGATAATGTGGGGTAGAGGTCATGCTTGCATTTTCCCAGAAGGCACATTTCGTCCTATTTGGGTACCTGAACATGCTATCAGATATGGAAGAGATAGAACCCAGATTCAAGCGACTGAGGATTGACCCGGAGGGGCCCCTATCCAGAAGGAGGAGATATCGGAAAAGGATGAAGAAAGACCAGATTGACCCAGCCGAAAAGCTGATTTCATGGGAAGACTTGAAGAAGCTAACAACCCAGGCTTCCCGAATACTTCGACACCTAGGAGAGAACAGGACCCCAGTGATGATGGTAGCAACAGTAATTGCCCTGTTGGGCTGTCAGGTAAAGGGGGATCAAGTAGACACTTACTGGACATATTTCCCAGATCCACCCCTGGTACACCCAGCTGTGTGGACTGGAGAATCTATTCCAGTATTTACTAATGACTCATTCATGATGGGAGGATTTACAGATACCCATATTACTCCCAATCATGTGACTAGATTTAATTATTCTGGCTACAATGCCCTATTACCTTTGTGTTGGTCACATGATAAACATGCTGGCTGTCTGAAAGTATCATTCGAAGAAAAGACAGCGATTGGTAGACATAGACTGACAAATAATTATATTTATGGGGACTTAAGACCTTATACTAGATCAGTAATTAAGATGGGACTTTCCCATAACAAGCCAGTCATTTCTACAAAACCTCCACAGATGCCCCACTGTCCAAATAGTTCTACAATTGAGATTGGCACCTTTCCTAGATGGATGGATTGTGTAAATACCTTTCCTGTACAACATAAGGTGTCTAAAGATAGTGGGTATATTTTAGACTGGTCTCCAAAAATTGATAAAAGACAATTACGAAGAAATTCTGCGATGACACCTGCAGGATTTGTTAGTAATACTTTGACTTATAGTAAAGGAGGTGTTCAGAAAGATGTTTGGCGTTTAATTGCTGCCTCAGAATTCTTACATTTTACAGACAAACCTTTACCAAAATTTGTTGGCAAGAACTGTAAAGAGGGATCTTGCTATGGCTTACGAGCCTGTGTCCAATCTCCTTATGTTTTAATTATTGGAAATGTAAAAGTTAAATGGATAGATGACAGATATATTGTTACTTGTAATAAATGCAACCTAACCAATTGTATTACTAGGTATAATGGAGGAAAAGGAGTGCTGATACTTCATCAGCCCTCTTTTGTTTTATTACCTGCTAATATTTCAGAGCCATGGTATGCTGATACTGGTTTACAAGTCTTGCAGCAAATTCATGCCCAGTTAGCAAGACCTAAACGTGCTATTGGAGTTATAATTGTTGGTGTTTTGGTGCTAGTCTCCTTTATTGCCTCAACTGTCTCTGACATTGTCTCAGAATATTCAGCATGCAAAATTTCTTAATAATTTAGCTCAAAATACTTCCAAGGCTCTGCGTAATCAAGTAAATATTGATGAAAGGATTGAGACTAAATTAAATGCCTTAGAGGCGACTGTTATAGACATAGGTAATGAACTTTCAGCCTTAAAATTTAAGGAAAGGCTTAAATGCCACGCCAATTATAAGTATGTTTGTGTTACAGCTGCCAAGCACAATGCTTCTCTCTGGGATTGGGAGAAGGTTAAAAACCATTTATTAGGTATTTGGCAAAATAGTAATAATAGCTTGGATATTCTGGAACTTCATCACCATATCCAAGACATTCAAAATAATAGAGCTGAATTTTCAGATCCTTCTTCTCTGGCAAACCAAATATTAAAGGAGTTAAATGGATTCAACCCTGGAAATATTCTTAAACACTCGGCCTGGTACATTATTGGATTATTCTCTTTGCTGTTAATTCTCCTTTGTGTTGTAATTATAGGATGGCGAGTCTTCGGAACAAGAATACAGAAACTCCAAAGAGTGAACCGCCGCCTCATTTTTAAGAATAGAAAGGGGGAATATGTGGGAAGCCATCCTGACACGTGACTGGGCGACTCCCATTAAGGGTCTGAGGCTTCTGGCTGTGTCGGAATTTTCCCGGCCCTTTCCTGATGAGAGAACCCGTCCGTGTGGGGGTGTGACTGACGACTGACCCCGGGGGCCCAATCACTGACCCTGACCTTGGAGTGCAGTCCCCCCTCAACCTTCATTGGATGGAATTATCCCCTGAATTTCTTGTTCCCCAATAAAAGGCTACTCCCTGGCGTGTTCACTCTCTCTCTCTCTCTCTCTCCTGCTAGCCCTGAGTAATCCTTGCTGCCCTGCTGGGCGGTTAGAGGTCGGAGCCAGAGAGGGGAGCCGTCTTGGACCTGCAATAGAAATAAGGTAACTGAGTCTGTGTGTTTTATTTCGATCTCTTCTAACTAACTTTATGCCTAGAACCTCATTAATGAAACCATTGCGCAGGTCGCGTGGTAGAATGTTGCTTTCACATCTTCATGCTGACACAATTCCTACATCCAATCCAGGGTGCATTCTCATTACCTGTGAACAGTAAGAAATGAAGGCACACACCCTTTTTACATGCCTACACTGGTTTTCTCAAAAAAAGAGGTTTCTTGCTGAAGGGGTTGCATGACTGTAATTCCACTGGAAAAGCAGGCTGAGGCAGGGGATCACAAGTTCAAAGTCAACATAAGCAACATAGTGAGGACCTAAGCAATTCAGTGAGACCATGTTTAAATATTTGGAAAAAAAATTAAAAAGAAGTAGGATATGGCTCAGTGGTTGAATGTCTCTGGGTTGAATCCCTGGTACCAAAAAAAAAAAAAAAAGTAAAATAAAATAAAAAATTCTCAAGTCTATATAAGTCTCATTGGATCTGAAACAACTGAAGGTCTCACCACATTTTTATATACAAGGCTTTTCTCCAGAGTGAGTTCTTCCATGATGTTCAAAAAGAACCTGGAAAAGTGAAAGTGTTACCACATTGTTTAAAGAACAGAAGGGTTTTCCCCGATGTGAATCCCTTTATGTCTTTGAAGGAAACTATGAGAGCTGCATACTGCCCCACATGGCTTTTCCACAGGATTTTCTACAGTATGAGTCCTTTCATACAACTGAACAAAACGGAAACACTTGAACACTTTCTTGCATATGATTTATTCATTTTGGCATGAATCTTTCCAGAAGATTCTTAACAGACCTTATAAAAAACTGGGAAAATTAGAAGACTTCCTACATTAATCACATTCTCAGGGCTTCCCTCTATGAGTATTTTCATATATGAGAAGGAAAGCGGGACTGGGATGGGAAGCTGACAGAATGTACCCAATCTTCCCCATACTGAGGGTTGTTTTCCAGTGTGAGTGAAATGACTTTGAAGGCAACGGGGAAAATGGAATGATTTTCCGAATTTTTCACATTTAAAGCATTATTCAGTTAGACCTAGTAGTGTTTGCCTTTAATCCCAGAGACTCAGGGTCTGAGGCAGAAGTATCACAATTCTGACGCCAAACTCAGCACCTAAGCAAGGCCCTAAGGAACTCTGCAAGTCCCTCTCTCAAAATAAAAAGGAAAAAGTTTGTGGCTCTGCCCTGGTCCTGCCCTAGTGGGGTCCAGGGGGTCCTGAAGGATAAGTGGTGTCAGCGAAAAGATGAGACAGGAGTCGTTCCCTTGGAGCAATCTCCAGAGAGAGAGAGCTCTAATGCAGCTTTCTCTGGGTCATTTTTTATTGCAATATTTTTATCACTATAGATTCAGATACACCATTGATTATACAATTTAATTTCCATTTTTCCAGGATATGACCTTTAGTTATTTAATTATTAAAAGTACAGAATCATTAATAAAATGCATCACTAATTTACATTTTTCAAGGTGCACTAGTTCTCATATCTTTATAATCTTTCTCAATAGAAAATAAGTTGTAAACATCAGTCCACTTTCCGCCAATATTAACTATATTCATCATAAAACCCTATATAAAGTAAAAAAGATTTTATAAAAAGAGAAGATTATATCGTTAAATGTTTTAACTTTCCTAAGTGTATAATATAACTTTCCTCAATCAAAAATGAGACTACACATGGTGGGCTTTGTAAAATAAGCATAATGATTAGGTTTTCTAAGAGGCTGGAAATATGAGCTTGGGTTCTAGTTGATATAATCAGTGTGGTGCCTGAAATTCTCGTGACCTTTCAGAGGATGTTTGTTGTCCATTATCAGATTTGTCCTCAGTGTACTGAGATACAAGAACAGCCTTCTACTTTGTCCTTGATATGCTGAGGGGAAGAAGAACAGCCTTAAATGCATGAACTACCTGTTATGTTCTAGCCATCTGATATTTAATTTGTTTGGCATTTAACATACTCATGCCTCCTGTTAGAAACATAAGCATGAAAATGAAAAGTCCCAATTATATAAAAAAAGGGTCTCATGGTTTCGGATTCCCACCAACCAGCGCGGCTTTGCCAGCATTAATTGTCACTGTGACCCTGTCAAGACAGTGAGTGGGAAATCTCCTTCACCATGGCTCAGTAATAAATGACCACCAGACTAACTCCCCAGTACTATTTATAGATAGATTCAAACATGTGAGCACTTTCTTCTCTCTGAATTGGACAAGAAATATTGATTTACCCATATTTCACATTCAAAGAATTTTTCTTTTTTTTTCTAAGAATTTTTCTACAGAAAACTTACTACATGATAATGAGTGAAAGCTTATTAACAGAAGACTTTGCCAATTGTTTTCATGACTATGATTTCTCTGCACTATGGGTTGCTTCATGTAAGTGAAGGTGAGCAGATGTAACAAAGGCTTTTCCACATTTTTTACAACCATAGAGCTTCTCTCCGATATGTGTTCTTCTATGTCTTTGAAGGATACTGGAGCTAGCAAAGGTATTGCCACACTGCTTACACTCATAGGGCTTCTCTCCAGTATGCATTCTTAAATGAACCTGAAGGTAATTGGATGTAGAAAAGGCTTTGCCACACTGCTCACACTCATAGGGCTTTTCTCCAGTATGAGTTTGTTCATGTGAGTGAAGGCTACAGGATCTAGCAAAGGCTTTCCCACACTGCTTACATTCATAGGGCTTCTCCCCAGTATGTGTTCTTCCATGTCTGTGAAGGCTACTGGATGTAGCAAAGGCTTTGCCACACTGCTTACATGCATAATGCTTTTCTCCAGTATGAATTTTTTTATGTAAACGAAGGCTAGAGGAACGAGCGAAAGCTTTGCCACACTGCTTACATGCATAAGGCTTCTCTACAGTATGAATTGTTTTATGTGAGTGAAGGCCAGAGAAACGAGTGAAGGCTTTTCCACATTGCTTACACTCATAGGGCTTCTCTCCAGTATGTGTTCTTCCATGAATCTGAAGGAAACGGGATCTAACAAAGGCTTTCCCACACTGCTTACATTCATATGGCTTTTCTCCATTATGAGTTTTTTCATGTGCGTGAAGCTCACTGGATCTAGTAAAGGCTTTGCCACACTGCTTACATTCATAGGGCTTCTCCCCAGTATGTGTTCTTTCATGTCTGTGAAGGCTACTGGACCTAGGAAAGGCTTTGCCACACTGCTTACATGCATAAGGCTTCTCTCCAGTATGAATTTTTTTATGTGAGTGAAGGCCAGAGAAACTACTGAAGGCTTTTCCACACTGCTTACATTCAAAGGGCTTCTCTCCAGTATGTGTTCTTCCATGAATCTGAAGGGAAGTGGATGTAGCAAAGGCTTTGCCACACTGCTTACATTCATAGGGCTTCTCTCCAGTATGTGTTTTTTCATGTATGGGAAGGTAACTGGAACTAGCAAAGAAATTGCCACACTGCTTACATTCATAGGGCTTCTCTCCAGTATGCGTTCTTCTATGAATCTGAAGATAACTGGATCTAGTAAAGGCTTTGCCACACTGCTTACATTCATAGGGCTTTTCTCCAGTATGAGTTTTTTCATGTGAGTGAAGGATACTGGATGTAGCAAAGACTTTGCCACACTGCATACATTCATAGGGCTTTTCTCCAGTATGGGTTATTTCATGTGAGTGAAGGTGACTGGATGTGGCAAAGGCTTTTCCACACTGCTTACACTCATAGGGCTTCTCCCCAGTATGTGTTCTTTCATGTATTTGAAGGTCATTGGATCTAGCAAAGGCTTTCCCACACTGCTTACAATCATGAGGCTTCTTTCCAGTATGGGTTCTCTGATGGATTCTAAGTAAACTGGGATAAGCAAAGTCTTTCCCACATACTTTACAGTTGAATCGTGCATTCCCCGTGTGTGTGACCCTGTGCCTTTGAAGACTTGTGTGTGAAATAAAGGTTTGACCAACTTGTTTACATTGATAGACTTTCTTTCCAGAATGAGTTCTTTCATGTCTTCTAAATAAAGAGGAGAAATGAAAGGCTTTCCCACATACCTCACATTGAAAAGGTTTACCTCCACTTTGTGTTCTCATATGTCTTTGAACATCTGGGAGAGAAGAGGCTTCACCACATTGTTGATCTTCATAGGGTTGCCACCCAGTATGAGTATCTTCATACCTTTGAATGTCACTGGAACAACTGGAGACTTTCCCACATACTGTACTTTCATAGGGTCCATCTCCAGTTTGTATTAACATTTGTGTGTGAACACTTTTGACAGAAACCAGGGATTGCCTGTGCTGTTTAAATTCACATGGCTTCTCTTCACATTCCTCGTGCTTGTAGCTTTTGTGTTCAGAGTGAGATGTGATGTGCCTATGAAGGAATGAAGTGCATATGAAGTCCTTGGCACACATATAACAACCACATGGATTTACTCTATTAAAATTTTTCTTTGTCCAGTTAAGAACTGGAATCTCATTGAAAGTTTCCCCACACTATCTTCTTGGCTGTTGATGTTTACCACATGGCTTCTTTGAAGAATGACTAGCACATTATCAATGCCTAATTCATTCATGATTTTATATTTATTTATGGGTCCTAGGCTTACATTACTAACAACATCAGGTAAAGGCTAGGTTTTCTGATGTTTTCAAATTGCCTGAAAATCAAGATATCGAAAGGAAACAATCCTTTGCAATGCAGCTTCCCTATGGTAATTATCTAAAGAGTGATATTCACATGCAATTTCATATACTTTTGGCATGCCAAGTACTTGGAAAAGACTGAATATCTGTTACTGTTAAGTATATATTTCTAGTAAAAAAAAAAAAAAAACTCTCATAAAAATAAATACATTTCAAATTGTGCATACTTCTTGGGTTGGTCTGTTTTAAAAATTATATGACATTCTCACATTCCCTCAAGAACTCCTCTTGTGAGCAAAATTACCTTAGAATGATCTCGGAATTTTTGATCTCATCTTGAATGTTTTTTTCATGCCATTTGTTTTCTAAAATGAGAAACCAGAATAATCTTTATGAATTTTTAGGAGACAGAAATGCTTTGCCAAACTTGTAGGTGCCTTTTATGCTGCAATAATTCTACAATGGATTCCCTTCTCATGTTCTGTACAAATGACCAAAATAAACATGAGTTATCTATTTGATTAATTAAAAAAATCATTATTACCTATAAAAGCCAGGTTTCTGAAGACTTCCAGCATCACATCTCTGTAAAGGTTCCTCTGGGAAGGATCCAGCAATGCCCATTCCTCCTGGGTGAAGTTCACAACCACATCCTCAAAGGTCACTGAGATCTAAAATATCCCACAAATGTTTACTGGAGGTCAGGAGAGATTGATAGCATCAGAAATATGTACTCAACATGCTTGGTGTCCACAGGATTCTCTGAATTACTGATTAATTCCATGATTTGGTCCATCAAATCTTTCCTGCATTCAATTTCTTACACCCATTCCAACACTAGAACTTGGCTCCTCAGAAGCCAAGCATCATAGTGATTTATACCCTTCCTTTGGTGAGTTCACAGGAACTAAGACAGGCTCCCAGATCACTCCTAAGTTCTTTATTGGTTTCACCTCTATTACATGTTCTAGAATTGTCCTGAGTGGTACAGACCCAATATAAGCACTTCTGATAGTACTTATCTTTAGAAAAGAAAGGTGATGAGTAGGAAATTGCAGGAATCATGAAACTAAGCATTTGAGAGATATTCTGGTGGCTCCCTGTACCTACAAGATTAATATAGATAACATGGAATTTACTGATGTCTTGTTCCCTCTGAAAGTCTATTGTTCCAT